ATCTGCACTGATTTTTACAGCCCATAGTTACATGGAATTCTCTTCCCAGCTCCAGGACTCTGGGATGGGCATCTGGTGTGGGGTTGGGACCCCTTGCTCCTCATGGTGGCCTCCACAGAGACATCTCCCTCCCAATTAAAAAGCGGCACATGTGGGTACAGAGTAGCTTGTTCTGTACCTCTGCAACTACTTCCAGTCTCCATGCACTTTCTTCTTTACTTTTCTAGTTGTAGGACTTCCATTCAGCCAGAGTTCTGGTGGTTCTGTATGATAATCGTTCTATATTGCAGCTGTAATTCTGATGTGGTTGTGAGAGGCAGCAAGTACAGGTGCTTGCCTATGCTGCAATCTTGGTTCTCTTGATTCAGCAGTTTTTAGTAGCAATTCAAATGAAAATATTCTTGAGCTCCAAAATATAACTCTAAAATCTGAAATCTGATCTTTTACATTAGCAATCAATAATTTTTATAGTTTTTCAGATCTCTTTTCCTGGATGGAACATAGAGAGAGGTCATAGCCTAGTTGAAGTTAGATATTTACATGTGACAGTCATGATGGTGCCTAATAAAGTTCTATAATTCTGCCTACTTCATTTGGAAGATGGCTAAATGTGAATTAACTCATATTCTCAAACCCATTTCACTCCAAAGTACTCTATCTATATATCTATTAATTTAATTTTCCCATTGATTTCAGAGAGGAAGGAAATGGGAGAATGAGATAGAAACATCAATGATTATAGAGAATCATTGATCTGCTGCCTTCTATACATCCCACATTGGTGATAGAGCCCACAACCTGGACATGTGCCTGAAAGGTTCAGAGTGGGCCAAGGTCATGCACCTATGACATGAGGCTATAATGTATCAAAAAAGATTTTATTCTGACTACCTGAGTGTAAGTAGGCTGAAACCAAGAAAGGAATCCGTGAAGAGAGCAGGGAGAGATAGGTTTTTATTATTCCTTGCTGGCTGCAAGCCGATCTGCTGACATAAGGCTCTGGTCCTTTCTTGGTCCCTCCATGCCAGGTGTTTTCTGGTTATCTGAGCTCTGGGTGCTCAAGGCTGCAAGATATCTGCTAAGCACAATAAGTCTTTCTCTGCTCTGTTTTATTCTCTTTAACCCTTTCAGTGCTCTGACAAGGAATCAAACTGTGATCTCTTCATTCATAGGTTGACACTTGAGCACTAAGCCATTTTGGCTAGGCACTCCATAGTACTTTAAAAAGAGGTTTTCTTTTCTTGGTTGCAAGGTCCAAACCACTCTCTGTGTACCTCCAGTTGAGGAAGCTTTACCTTAAACCACACATGACAGTAAGAGAGATGGGAATCTCATGGGATCGGGTACATAAGTGGGCCTCATGAGAGAAGAACGGTAGGTTGTTCAGGAAATGGAAGGATCCAGTATGACTCCAAGGACTGAGTCATCATGCTGTCCTCTCAGGAACAAAAGTCAGTTAGCCCTACTGCCAGTTATGGTTGCTTGGTTCCTCTCTCTGTAGTTCTTTGCCCGATAGCCAACTGCTCATCCTCTCCTTTTTAGGTTCTTTTTCTTCATCCTATTTATGTCTTCTCACTGATAGCTTTTCTTACCGAGATCTGTAAGCATTGAGCTTCTCCTTACTTACTTCCTTTGTCATCTTCCTTTACCATCACCAACTTTCTGGTCTTCATATGATACTCTCCCTTCAGATTTCAGGGGGAGAAAAAACTTCCCAGGCCAGTCAGCAGTCATTTTCCCTGTTCCAGAGCCTTATCATCTTCTGGCCCACCTAGAGAATGGCTGCCCTTGAGTCGGGTTTCACTCATCTGTATTTCCCATAAGTTTTGAGAGCTTCATAAAGTGGGTCTGGAATAATAACTGTAAATAAATAGCATAGAACACTGGCCAGCCCCAATCTACTAATAAGCAAATCCAGTGCTGTTATCCAATTCAGAGTGTAGTGGAATTGACTACTCTAACTGGTAACATTTTCCTCCTACAGAGTCATTCACAGGATGTTACTGGTTGAGACTTTTGTATCTGTAGGACTCTTGATTCTGTTTTTAGGACTGGTTTTAGCTGCTCTGGGTACTACTCACTTGGTTTTTAAAGAAAGTTACCTCTTCTTCTCTAGGTACTTAGAGCAGTTCTTTTTTATTTGTCACATTCTTCATGTTCTGTATTCCTTCACTTTCATTAACCAATCCATTCAGAATCAGTGAAGGATAAGCTAAGAAGGACCACATAGAGAAGGTGTAGCTAAAACTAACTGTCTAGAATAATTCCTTAAACTCAGAGGGATCTGAATTTTTTTTTTTTTCATTTGCTACTTACATAGAACTTTGAAAACTGGAAAGATGAAAGAAAGGAAAAAGAAGAGTAGGTTACAAAGAACAAGAGCAGTGATCTAAGGGTGGGCAATGGAGCAAAGGCAGAGATTGGTCACTGTCACATTCTGCCCACTTAGAATGAACTCTGAGCACTTAAGAAGAATGTATATTCTGCAGCTTTGGGGAAATGTTTTATAAATGTCAATTAAATCCATGTGATCAGTGTATCATTTAGAGTCACTGTTCTTGTGTTAAATTTTTGTCTGAAAGAGTGGCTGCCCTTGAGTCGTGTTTCACTCATCTGCATTTTCCATAAGCTTTGGGAGCTTCATAAACTGGGTCTGGAATAATGATACTAAATAAATAGCATAGAACACTAGAGCAGTTCTGGGGCCTGCCTCAACCTACTAATAAATTAGCTGGGTGTTCAAGTCCCCTACTATGATTTTATTACTGTTAATCTCTTCTTTAAAGTACTCCAGAAATTATATATATTTAGATGCTCCTATATTGGGTGGATATATGTTTACCAAGGTTATAGCCTCTGATTGGATCTATCCCTTTAGAATTAGGTAGTGACCTTTACTGTCTCCTTTAGTGACCTTCATTCTTCATTTTGGTGTATTTTTTCAGACGTGAGTATTACTACCCCAGCTTTTTCTCATTTCTATTTGCATGATTTTTTTTTCCCCATGCCTTCTCTCTCATTCTGAATCTATTGTTCTGAGATGGGTCTCGTGTAGACAGCATATACCATTTTAGTTCTTTATGTCTATGTTTCTCTCTCTATTTCTTCTTCTCAACAGACCATTTCCTTTATCATTTCTTTCATTGCTAGTTTGGTGGTGATAAATTCCTTTCACTTTTTTTTTTTTTTTTTTTTTTTTGAGAAGCTCTTTATTTCACCATCTATTTTGAGTCATAGCCTTGCTGGATATAGAAATCTTTATTTAAGAACCTTGCAACCTTGCTTTACCTTATCTTGGATACTTCATGGCATTCCCTTTTGTCCTGTAGAGTTTCTGATAAAAAATCAGCTTACAGTCTAATGGGAGCTCCTTTGTAGGTAACAAATTGCTTTCCTCTTGCTGCCTTTTAGATTGTCTCTTTATTTTTTAATTTTTGGCATTTTAATTAAGATGTGTCTGAGAGTGGGCCTGTTTGGGTTTTTCTTGCTTGGTATGATTTCTACTTCTTGAACTTGTGTCACTTTTTCCTTCACCAGGTTTGGGGAGTTTTATGCCATTATTGATTCAAACATGATTCTCTAGACTTTGCTCACTTTATTCACTTGCTGGTACTCCTCTGAAGTGAATATTGTTAAGCTGTCCTCCTGTTTTTTTATTTTTCTTTTTGGTTCTCTGATTGAGTGAATTTTTCCATTCTGTCTTCTAATTCACATATCTAATCTTTGGCTTTCCTTTATCTGCTGTGTGTTCTTCATTCTTGGTTTCCAATTGGTGTTTCTTCATAGTTACTATGTCTTTTCTCATGCTGTTTAGCATCCTTGCCATCATTTTTCTGAACTCTATATCTGATAAATTTCTTATCTCCATTTCATTAGGCTTTTCTTCTGAAGAATTCTCTTTTTCTTTCAGTTGGGGCTTGTTTTTTGTTGCCCCATTTTAGCTGCCTATTTGGGTTTGTGTCTATGACTTAGGGATATCTGATACGAGTCCCAGTCTCTAGTGCAGATGCTGTTTGTAACTGGCCTTGAATATCCTCTCTGGAGCTATGTGTAACCCACAGCTTCTGTATCCCTCTGGTGAGTCAGGGTGCCTTCAGAAATGACCAAGATGTGCACCAGGATCTGATTTCCTAGACCCAGGCTCTGGAGGAGAACAGGGAAGACACAAAGCCTCCAGAGATCTTCCTCTGCCTTCAGTATGATTGATATTCAGTTTTATTTGCCTCAAGCTATTGATCACAAAGTGAGATGAGAGGTTTTCCAACAAGTCAATTGCTACCCCTACCCCCAGGCAAAAACCACCTGGATGGTAAAGGTCTGTTTGGGAAAGATGCCCTCGGCAGTGAGAGGGAATGACTTATTTCAGGAAACTGTGGTTGCTGTCTTTCAAACTCTAACCCTAGAACCCTCAATCCTGGATTCTCTTCATACAGCTCTAGTCCACTTTGCCCTCCCTCTGCTGGATCCCAAGGTGAGTGGCTACACATGAAATTTTGTGCATTAGCCCTTTAATTAAGCCTGCATTTCCAGCCATCTCTCACTGGCAGACAGAATCTCTTCTGCTTCATTTTCATCAGATGTTATGTGGGTACCTTTCTAGTTTTGGTGCTCTGGGCTGGGGGTACCAGCTTAGAGTTTAGACCCCACGGTTCTCAGTGGGAACCCCCAACATCTGAGATATGTCTCCTGAAATTCTGTTGCTGGGAGCCCGGCCTACACTTTCACACATCTGAACTTCCTACCAGTATATATGTGGTGTCCACTTTCTATTCTTGGTTATCAGTATTCTCTCCAGCTAGACTTCAGTTAATTATTGAGGATGATGTTTCTGTATTTTATTTGTAATTTCAATTTTGTCCTTGGAGAGTGTCAGTGTACCTTCCTCTTATACCACCACCATTTTGGGAACCTACTCTGAGTAGTTTTCTTAAAATTTAACACTGTACCAGTGTAGTCTTAATTTCTTTTATTTATTAAATTCATTATATTTTTAATTTTAGTATGTTCTAAGAAGAAGACTATACAGCCTAATAATAAGGTAAGTTAAAAACTCTTAAATGAATTGGGTCTGATTATTTGATTTTTTTCAAATGAGGAATTATAACTGAGATATTGAACCCTTTTCGGTCTGTTTAGTATAACATCAAACTAAGAGAACTTTGAAGTCGTTTTATAAACTTTGCATAATTGAATCTAATTCTATTTTAAAATCTATGTCTGTTCATTTAGTAGTAATGGGATAGAATAAGTGATTCCTTGTCATAATGCAGACTTCTTATACCCAGTACTGAAAAGTTTATGTGTAAGAATAATGGTCCTTGTATCTGCTGAAAGATAATGAAATACTTGCTTATCTTATTTAAGCAAGTTGAGAAAATTCCAAGAAAAGGAGTAAATTTAGGAGATAAACTGAGATAAATAAATAAGGGAGGCTTAAAAGAAAACCTTTATAAAGAGAGATTCATCATGGTGGCAGACACAAAAGCTACTTTATGCAAATAAGACCTGGAAAGGACTGTATTGTACTCATCTTTCCATAAAGGATTTAATGATAGCTATACCTGCAATGCCACAGATGAGACTCCTGTGTGGCAGGAAGTGGGGACTGCAAATGCTGCTAGTTCTGACAAACCTCAGCAGACATGCCTGAAAGGCAAGGGGAAGCAGGGGTGCTCTACCATGGGTGTTTATTCTGAGACAGGTACCATAGCTACATGGTCACAAACACACAGAAGTTTATCTTGTGCCTCTGTTAGAGATTATCCAGTCTTAAATCCTTACACATTTTCTTTGCATAACTTATAAATGATTGTTTTGCTCTCATCTCTGGTTTAACTGTCATATTTATTACATTGTTATTTATTTTGGACTTTAATAAGTCAGCATCTCTGGGCCTATCAAAGGCCCGATGAGAGAAGCAGGGCTGATCAGCAGCTCCAGTGGAGGCCTGAGAGAAAGAGAGGCCTGGTGCCCACAGCAGCAGCAGTCAGTGCTGAGTTGCCCCGACAGTTCAACACTGACTTCTGGTTGGTCGAGCCTTCAGTCATGTTGGATGTTATGGATCCTGGGTTTTTATATATTAGGATTAATTAAGAAATAAAAGTTTTGCTATAATGTTCTCACCTCTGAGGAAAATTCACTGCTCTGTGACTCCCAAGTAGCTGCATGCATTAGCCAAGTAACATTGGACAAGGGGACTACTGTTTTCTTGGCCAAGATGAAATGCTGTAGTTCCCCCAGTATAGAAGAATCCCAAGTAAGTGTAATTTCTGGTTTATACATTTTAGGAAGATATAGTCTCTCACCATGAAGTGAGACAAAAACATTTCACTTTCTTCCTAAATCTAGATCTGTATTCTCAACTTACTATTTCCTTTGTGGGAGGTTGTAGTTATGATCCACAGACATTGTAACCAAATGCATTAAAATTAATTTGTATTTATAGCTGTGAAATAGGTGGTATGATATTACTACCTAGTTGTTTATTTAGAAATGATTTTTAATTGTGGAAACTTACTAATCACTTGCTTTGCTTGTTACTAATTCTTGGCATTTAAAGAAACAAAAGGAATGATGAATGATGGAAAGTATAAAAAGCACATACAATTATAGATTGGTTAAAATATGAACATTGAAAACAAATAAAATTGCTTCTTGGAAGTATGGCATTTATTTTATTTTTATTTTTTTATATATTTTATTGATTTTTCACAGAGAAGAAGAGAGAGGGATAGAGTTAGAAATACCGATGAGAGAGAATCATCGATCAGCTGCCTCTTGCACTACTGGGGATGTGCCCGCAACCAAGGTACATGCCCTTGACTGGAATCGAACCTAGGACCTTTCAATCCGCAGGCTGATGCTCTATCCACTGAGCCAAACTGGTTTGGGCAAGTACGGCATTTTAAATAAAAGGGACACTCAAAGCATAAAGGTTTACATGTCTTGATTTATAAAACTTAAATCTACTCTGATAAAATTGCACCATTAGTCATATAAAAGCTGTAGGGTGCCACCCATCAGCTCTCCAGTCATACTGCTACAGCAAAGAGAAAGTACTGCTTTAAAAACAAAACAAAACAAAACAAAACAAAACAAAACAAAAAAACACCTTTCTGATGCAGTGACTGTAAAATGGTTTTTATGTGACGTGTAGATAATCTGACACAAATCTTTATAATCTTGACCAAGTTTCTTTTGAAACCTTACTTAATCACTAGGTTGGCTTGTTACTAATTCTTGGCATTTAAAGAAACAAACAATAAAAAACATAATGAATGATGTAAAGTATAAAAAGCACACACAATTATAGATTGGTTAAAATATGAACATTGAAAAGAAATAAAATTGCTTCTTGGAAATATGGCATTTTAATTTTGTTGCACTTAAGCCATGGGGTCTTAATATCTCTGCTTTTCCACAAAGGTACTTGGTTCTAACTTTTAGGGAAAAGACTTGGATAGAGAAGGAGAGAGAGAGTCTGGCTCAGAGATCGAGCTTTGAACCCAGAACCAAGATGTCTCTGATTCAATTCCTTGTCAGTACACAGACCTGTTGTGAGCCTGGTCCCCGGTATGGAGCATGTAGGATGCAGCCAGTTGAGGATTTTTTTCATTTATTGATGTTTCTGTTTCTCTGTACTCTCTGCCTTTCTCTCTGGGGATCAACAACAACAACAAAAATATTTTAAAATAAAACACCAACTCTGCCCTATCCTCTCTTAAAAATAAATAAATAAATAAATAAATAAATAAATAAATAAATAAATAAATAAATAAATAAATTCTAATATATAAAAACCCTAAGTGGTAACAACCAGTAACAACCTGAGGCTGACCAACCAGAAGTCAATGTTGGCCTCACCCCCAAGCAAGCAGTAAGGGGAAATCAGGTAGGCAGGCAGAGGGGTCAGGGGTGATCAAGTAGGCTGACTAGCAATTAAGGGACATCAGGAAGGCAGATGGCCCTCACCAGGCTGGCTCGCCCCCAAGCAAGCATTAGGGGAAATCAGGCAGGCAGGCAGAGTGGTTAGGGGTGATCAGGTTGGTAGACTAGCAGTTAGGGGTGATCAGGTGATCAGGTAGGCAGGCAAGTGATTAGGGGAGATCAGGTAGGGAGACAGCCCCTCACCAGGTTGGCCCTGCCCCAAGCAAAGAAAAAGGGAGGCCCAGGCCAGCCAAAACATTGCACCCCAGCCTGTCACCTGCAGAAGGAGGCCACCAGTGGCAAGGGGAGGGGGACAATGCTGCACAGTTGGCAAACAGTGGCAGCAGCAGGTGGGGCCAACTGCCTGCAGCCTGGGAAAGAAAAGCCCCATAGGCCTTGATCTTAGGCCAGGCCTAGGGACCTTACCCGAGGGGCCCCAGATTGTGAGAGGGTACAGACCAGGCTGAGGGACCTCCCCACTCCCTTGCCCAGTGATTTTTTTGTGCACCAGGCTTTAAATAAATAAATAAATAAGAAAAATGTTTGACCACTCTAGATTTTGCTTTTTCAGGGGAACTCTAGGTTAACAATTTAAAAATTGTATTTAATATTTCAAACACATGTTTGTTAAAGAAGTCGGAGATATCAAATGTTATTAAGTATTTAGCTCTGTTTACATTTGAATGTGCTTTTACAACTTGTCAAAAACTTCTTCATTCATTTGCCACTTACTGTCATGATGCTCATGCAAATAGTCAACTTTCCATTTCACTGTTTTAAAGTCTGTGACTACCTGCTCACTTTTCTAGTAAAAGTGCAGCATTAACTCAAGAGGCTGTATTCCACTGTACAATCAATGTTTGCCTAAGAGTAAAATCACACTAAATATCTGTTGGTGGATTAAGTTTAAAACAATGTTCAGGCTGTGTTCAACAAGGAGGCACAGAATGATCCCACTTTTGTAGCTGTATATCACAGCCTTTATTACAAACATGCACGTTTTATTATACTAACTACGGCCCTCCAAAAATATCATAGTTAGTAGGAATAAATAAAATTGCTATTAATCAAAGAACTGGTGCATGGAATTGTGACATGATTTGCTCATGTTTTCATTCTGGTGTCCTACTTTTTAATTTTTTGTTCTTTCCTTTTTTATGGTGGAGTCATTATTCTTTCCCCCATGGTCAGAAAACCAGTTACAAGGACCTTGAGTACCACTTCCTTTGTTAATATCCCTTAATAAGTGACTTTTTTTGAACCACCATATCAGAATATAAATCAGTTTTTGTTTGTTCATAGTACATGAAATCTATAATGACCTTTGAAATGTCTTTAATTTTGCTAATACCCGTGTTTCGCTGAAAATAAGGCATCCTCCGAAAATAAGACCTAGCGCATGGAAAGATAAGACATCCCCTGAAAATAAGACCTAGCACAACTTTGGGAGAAAAAATTAATATAAGACATTGTCTTATTTTCAGGGAAACGGTATTTAGCTATTCAGAATTTGTTGGTTAATTTTAAATGTCTGTCTGGTGGGATTGTTAAGCTGACAGCTAACAGCATGATGCTCACAGTGTGTCTGCCTCGTCCATGAGTGAGGTTCAAAGTACCCTCCTTGGGACCGTTTCCTCTTTGATTTATACTAATCACATGTTTGTTTCACTTACATTACATGAAGTATGCAGACTTAAAGTGAATATGATGGAACAGTATTCTATATTCTATGAGCAGTACCTTTTCCTTTACAAAATCAGCAGCCCTTGGTTTGTTCTCAGCTAATCCTGCAAATGAAGATGATCAGACTTGGTTGATCCTTATTCTCATTTGGCATTGCCCTTTCCCTTACTACCATGAAAATGGCTAATGATCTCCCTGCCTTATATCTGTGACTTTTGCAAACCTAAGATTAAATTCTTTATTTTTAGATATTATATATCTGAAACAATTCCAAATTTTTAAGCTACATCAACTTATTAATGCACAGAAATAGATACATAGTAACTAAATGTTCATTTTTAAATTTTTCAGCCTAAATGAATTGAAATGATGGACTCTGACTTGCAGAGTAGTAAGATGTGAAAGGAATGCACTTATGTTTAAGAACCTTGGCCTTGACTCACTCACTGTTCAAGAGAAGAAAACAAGAAAAGTGACTCTTATCTATAAGAGAAAATAAATCATTGAGTTTTAAATGGTTATTACAGTTAAGTTTTTATTCAAAGCATTTTTTAGCCGAAACCGGTTTGGCTCAGCAGTAGAGCGTCGGTCTGCGGACTGAAAGGTCCCAGGTTCGATTCCTGCCAAAGGCATGTACATTAGTTGCGGGCACATCCCCGGTAGGAGGTGTGCAAGAGGCAGCTGGTCGATGTTTCTCTCTCATCGATGTTTCTAGCTCTCTATCTCTCTCCCTTCTTCTCTGTAAGAAAATCAATAAAATATTAAAAAAAGAAAAAAAAGACACATCTTGAAAATGCCTAAAGAAAGTTGTCATTTTTTTATGGTGAAGGGACTGGAGTCTGTGTTGATGATAACACCTTGGAGGTTGCAGTGACTGGCAGTGGTTGCAACAGTAGGGTGACAGGGCTAGCGCCTTCCCCTGATCAGGCCAGTTGTCTCCCATAAAGGGAGCAGGCCTAAGCCATCAGTAGGACATCCCCTGAGGGCTCCCAGTATGTGAGAGGGGGCAGGCTGGGCTGAGGGACCCCCCCCCTGCACGAATTTTGTGCACCAGGCCCCTAGTTTATAAATATTTTAAAAGTATATTAATATACAACAAGGGAACTTTTAATTGGAGCAAGTTTTTAAGTACATGTTTTAAATACTGTGGTCAGTGTGGCCCCATGGTCATGGGGTCCATTCCTGGTCAAGGGCAGGTACCTAGGTTGCAGATCCTTCCCTGGCTGGTTGGGGCCTGTGTGGGAGGCAACCAATGGAGGTATCTCTCACCTCAGTGTTTCTCTCTGTTTCTCCCTTTTTTCCTTCCCCCACTCTCCTTCCTTCCACTCTCTCTAAAAATTAGTGAAAACAATATCCTCAGATGAAGATTGATAAAAAATAAATAAGTAAAAAAATCATGTTTTAAACAAATCCAACATGTTGACAGTATTGTGAAAAACATCAGGTGAGAAAGCAAGAGATCTAGACTCTAATCCTGACAATGCTGTTAATTAGCAGAGGGGCTTGTCAACAGGTAAGACAAGCCGCCTCGCTATGCCTCAGTGTCCCTCTCCTCTTCCAAAACTGAACTGCAAATTTATACCTCCTCCATTTTAGTTGGTTCTCAATTAGGACTATTTTGATTGGACAGTCAGTCAGGGAACCCAGGCATCTGATGCACTGATTGATCCCACTCTGAGGCCTGGGGCTAGCTGGAATGGAAGTGAGGGTGCCCCCTGGAGTGGTGCTGGTGTGAGGAGAAGTTAACTTGATTAGAGACTCATTACCAGATGATGAGCTGGATTTGAGAGGGGGGCAGACTCCATGCTGGCTGGGCTATTTATTTTTCAAATAAATAGTGATTTAACTTTTATCAATTCATAAAGGCTTTCTTAGTGCTGCATTCCTTGCAGGTGTGGACTCCGATTCTGTGTCCCATGTGTGATTCTAGAGCATTTGAATAGAAAATAATATTTGGCAGCAAAGGACTATTTCATTCCTTACCTCATAGGCGATTTAATTTTTGCGCATTTATGAGGACTTTTTCAGCCTCAGCAGGAGTAACTAATGGAGCTCAGAAGCACTCACTGGTCCACCTCCTGCACGGGAAGCTGTTCTAGGTAGCAGGGCCCTTCCTCTGCCTGCTGAGAGCTCCGAGGGGTGCAGGCCTCCAAGTGCACCTGGATTTCCTTTCTGTGCAGCACCTTCCAGCTCAAGGTCTCAGCTTGTCCCCTTTCAAAAATAATGGGTTAGGATAACACCATCCGTGTAAGACATGATTTCAACAGGAGCTCAGAGATTTAAGCAGCTCTGACAGCATTTGGTGTGAGGCTGTGCCGGAACTCCTCCCCATGTTTATGTTGCGCATATAAGCTTCATGCTCAAGCACTCATCCATCACATCGGAGGGAAATGAAGTTTTTAACACTGTGTTACGGATGATCGGATGAGGATAATGTTAAAGACAGAGCTGCAGACTGCATAGGAGTCAGTGGATCTAATTATCAGAACTCTACTTAAAGTCTCTAGTTGATTTGCCATTGGACTAGGAGGCAGCAGCTCTTCAGTTCTGAAAATAGGGAGTTGGGGAAGAAAGGGTATCTTTTCCCAATTTGTATAAAAAATGCTTGGTAAGGAGTCCAGTTGGGAGAGAAATGATTGGCCCGTGTGCACACTGCAGTCTGGTGCATCTCCAGATGGTTTGCGATGTGCAGACAGACTGGCTGTTGTTCTCTCCAGATCTTGCAGCACCATCCCAGGCACTAGCTCTGGATCCTCCTCTGAAAATAATCCTGTCTAATAATTCATCATAGACCTGCCTCCCAAAAAAACGACAACTACCATGTGGCTTTCTGATTTTCTGTGAATTGCCTGTGAAATTCCTCAAGGTTAAACTGACAACATGAAAGCTGGCAGTCTTCTCCAACAAATGAATTGTTTGCCAAGTTTAAGTTTATTTGTTCAAAACATGGAGTACTAATATGTCTTCCACAGAAGCTCTCTACTTATTTATTCATTTTTATTTTTTAATATATATTTTTAATTGATTTCAGAAAGGAGGTGGAGGGAGAGAGAGATAGAAACATCAAGGTTGAGAGAGACTCATTGGTTGGCTGCCTCCTCCAGGCCCCACACTGGTGATTGTTCCTGCAACCCAGGCATGTGCCCTGACCTGGAATAGAACCATGACCTCCTTCCTGGTCATGGGTCAATGCTCAACCACTGAGGCAAGCTGACCAGGTTATTCATTCATCCATTCACTTATTTACTTCTCAAATAAATATTAATTTAGCTCTTTTATTAATTCATAAAGACTTTCATAGTCATTTCTATTAAAAACATTGGGGGGTGATGTAGTTACCCTGCACTATGGGTGAACTGAGCTTTTGTGTACAAACTGACTGTCCTATGGGAATAGATTCTCTAGGGAGATGTCTCTCTCATGCTGGGGCAGCTGGGAAGTGCTGCTCTCCCACAGCTGCCCCTCCCTCCCTAGCATTTGTCCCATGGTCCTGGGGAGAGCCTGCTGGTGCACACCTCCAACCCCTCCAGCCAGGCATCTCTTCTAGGAATGCTTCTCACTCCCCAGAGAGCTTCCACCACCAGCCCAACCAGATATCTTTAGAATGTAATTTTCATAAGCCTCATTTTTTTTTACAAGTGAGAAAAAAAAAACTTTATTACAATGTTATCAAGCGTTCAATTCTCACAATTGAATTGGTTAGGTATATATCTTGGATTTTTTAAATTTTTATTAACCTGGATTAGTAGAGCCCATGGCTTCTGTCTATAGCTATCAATAGGGAGTGTTCTGGTAACAACCGTTATTAAATGAATCAGGAAATATTGCTCTGGATTCTCTGTA